GGGACCGCGCCGGAGGAGCGAGACCCGGCCCGGGCCGGGCGCAGCGGGGGCGCCTGCCTTTAACAAGGCACAGCTGCCTGCAAATCTGAGGCCGTCGCGCGGTGTCCAGGTGCAGGAGGTCCGCAAAAGCCTGGGACGCGTGACTGCCTTGGAGAACGACCTGCAGGTGCTGAGGCGAACTCAGCGGGAAGCCCCATACCTGCCCGGGGCCGCGCTGTCCTCGCCCGCTCGACGCCCGAGCCCTGCCTGCGCCTGCGGCTCGCTCCTAGCCTCCCTCGCAGGTCGCTCCCGTGCGGTGTTTCTGCTGCCCTAAAGCTCTGTCCTAGACCCCATCACGGTTGCTGCTCTTCTGTCCAGGTCTCTGCTCAAACGTCGCTCTACCTGGCCCTTGCTGCACGCCCAGTGCACACGAAACCCCACAACCATTCCCAGCCCAACCTCACTCTTTTTTACAACTGATCACTAAGGTCTGTGAGGCTCTGCTCTTCGTCGCTCGTTTGCCTCATGTCCAGCTTGAGATACGCTCTGTGATGGCAGGCCGTCTGCACCTATCACAACACCTGACAGGTGGGAGGTGCGCTGTGCACACTGGCGGACACAAGTCGTCAGCATTTCAAAAAGACATGCCTTCCTTCAGCAACTGCGGCTCACTCTGTTTGTCAGGCACAAACACCTCCCTTCCGGCATCTCCTCTTTGGCTTATTCCTGTTAGAGTCGTAGAAACGCCGTGGAAGTCAGTTACCCGGGATTTGCCAGTGGATGCTGAGGGGAAAAGTGAAATGAACTTCATCAAAATAAAAGGTTTTTTTGCTTCGAGCAAGACAGCCCACAAACTGGGAGAAAATATTTGCAGCCCACATCCAGAATATATAAAGAGAGAACTCAACAATAAAAAGGCAACTCAACTAAAAGTGGGCGAAGGATTTCTCCAAAGGAGAGCCTCTAATAGTCAATTAGCACAGGAAAAGGTGCTCAGCATCAGTAACCTTTAGGGAAATACCAATTTAAAAATAACAAGCAGGCAGGTAAACTTCACACTCACTGAGATGGCTAGAACAGAGATAATAGACAAACAGCAGTGTTAGCAATGATTACTGAAGTTGGAACAGTCTTAGTAGGTCAGGAACTTTGGAAACAGTTTGGTCATTTCCTAAAATATTAAACATGGAGTTACCGTAGGATCTAGCAATTCCACTCCTAGTATACAGCCAAAGAACTGAAAATAACGCACCCGTGTGCACACAAGCAATTTTACATGAGTGTTCACAGCAGCAGTATCTCATAAAAGACAGTGGTGGCAACAATCCAAATGTCCACCAGCCGTTGAATGGATAAGCAAAATGTAATATCTCCCTCCATGCAGTGGGTTACTTTTCTGTCATAAGGGATGAAATGAACGTAGTAGTCCACCTATCACAAAGTAATCAATTAATGGTTTCCAGAAGCCAAAGAAAGGAAGAAATCAGAGTGACTGCTAATAGGGATGGGGTTTACCTTGTGGGTGATGAAAATGTCTGGAAGTAATATAGTGGTACTGGTAACACAGTTTTGAATATATTCACAACTAAACTTTTCACCTTGAAATGGTACATTTTATGGTATTGAAACATATCTCGATTTAAAACCAATGACTTGTACACTTTATGTGGATGAATTTTATCATGCATAAATTGTGTCAAAAATTTACAAAAAATGAAGAAATACAAAATACACTGGTTTTAACTGAGCTGTAGAACATTTCTTTAAATTCCATCATGTCTGTCTGTTCTAGTCCTGTTCTAAGTAAATTCACAATTTTTTAGAAAATATGTTTGGCTCAATTATCACTTTATTTCAGCTTCTCCATTCCCAAAGCATGTCATGTGACACATAAGCTTAGGGAAATATTCTCGGCATCCTTTGAAACAGCTACCATAATTAAAAAGGATTTTTAGAAGTATTAATGCGTTAACTGCTGTGAGGAAGTTTTGCAGATGTAATTCCACTCCAACATCAGTAATACTGAGATAAGGAGACTCTGTGGATAGATCTGACCTGTTCCTCTGAGCCCATATAGTTGCTGTCACAGAGAAGGAAGCTAGAGGGACATGTGTAGATGGCTTCAAGGCAGAACCATCCCTGGCCCCTGAGGCTACCTGCAGCAGACTCCAGGACCTGAAAAAATCTCCCTGGCTGAAATCTCGGGGACAAAAAGAAAAACCAGAGACCTCATTTGTACGAGCATAAGGAAATTAATCTTGCTGACAACAGACAGCCTTGGAAGATGAGCCTGCACCCAGCTGAGCCTTGCTTTCCTGGCCAGTGTGCTGGTTCCGCCAAGTAAGAGCCTGCGCCCAGAACCAGCTTCACCACAGCCAAACTTCTATCTTGCAGAAACTGTGGTGTAAATCACCTGTGATTTAATCCGCTCAGTTTATGATTTATTGTACAGAAAGCTCAAACTAAGAGCCACAGTCCACTTAGTTTAGTAAGATCTACATTTCTGAGCTATTTGTTTTCATGGAACTTTTTATATGCGATTGACATTAATTATTGTGTTCCTATATAAGACTCACATCTAAATATTTAAATTTACAAATTACCAAAAAGAATATGCTTGTCAAGTAAAATTCCTCAATTCTTCTTTTAGAATATCATTGCACCCAAATCTATTATACTGCCTGTCACTTCTCAATAGCAAAGATCTAAATCAAAAACCCCAAAATTAGAATACATCAAAAGAGTCCTTCATTTCATTCTTCTGTCTCACATCAGCCCCACGAAAACTCAGGCTATCCACATAGTACGAGTGTGTCATAAAAAGCTTGGCTGCAAAGGGGCTGGGGATTTGACTCAGAGGCACAGAGCCTGCCTGGCAAGCGCAAGGTCGTGGGTTAGATTCCTGGTACTGGAAGAAAAACAAAAACAAAATAAGATTGGCTGCAATTAATATCTTGCTTTCCATGAAAAGCCTCTGTCTTAGTTCTTTATGGCTCATTTTCTCTGTTCAAGATAATAACTCTTCCTCTCCTACAGAATAATAAGCCTAGATTACTGCTATATTATTGCATTTTAAATCTCTCACTTATGACTAAAGTATATTTAATTAATCAAGCACATACCTAAATAAAAGTCAGAATAGTAAGAGTAAGTGCCATATCTATATTACTCACCATTATCTTCACATGGAAACAATAAAAAAGTATTCAGGGAATGAGCCTAATGAGGTACAATCAAACAAGAATAGCAGCTGTGTCATATACTGAATAGACTGAGGTATCCCAGGCACCAAGTTAAACTTTGGGGATATTATGAAGAAAATTAGCCCCTGTCCACCCTCATGAAGATGCCAGTCTAGTGGATGAGATCTAATCTGGCTAATATCACCCTAAAGTAATGATCTTCCTTCTCTTTGAGAGAAACTATTTATAAGGTCTCAGAGGAACAGGTCAAATCTATCTGCAGAGTCTCCCTTTCTCAATATTATTGATTTTGGTAGCTGTTTCAAAGGATGCTGGGAATATTTCCCAAAGTTTATGTGTAACATGACATGTTTTGGGAATGGGGAAGCTGAAATAAAGTGATGATTGAGCCAAACATAGTTCCTAAAAAATTGTGAATTTACTTAGGACTAGAAGAGAGAGACATGGTGGAACTTAAAGAAATGTTCTACAGTTCATTTAAAGCCAGTGTATTTTGTATTTCTTCATTTTTTGTAAATTTTTGACACAAAATTTATGCGTCATAAAATTCATCATCCTTTGAGGATTACTCCTTCCTCTGGTGGGCAATTTTAGCAGGACAGTACAGTTAGATACTGTTTTCTACTCATCTCAGTTAAATTTAGATAAAGGGGACACAGGCACAGCTGCAGAGCGTAGAGCCCAGTGTCTTAGAGCACATCAGCAAGGCTATAAATGAGCTACATTTCCCCGTTCATATATCAGTGTGTTAAAAAATTACATGAGAATTCATTGTTTTCCAGCTTTTCTGTGAACTACCCATGTATTTTTAAAAGATAAATTTTCTCTGTAAGTTAGACAGAAATAGTTTCTGTGTTTGCAACCAGAGAACTCTAATTGACATAGAAGTAGGGGCTAGAAATATTGCACAGCAAGTCACAGAGCTCAGCCTGCAAGCTTATCTAGGGAAGAGAAGATGGAATTCAGAAAATGTGCATCTATCCATGGCTGGGAAGCTGGCCATCATTATGCAATGAGGGAAAACTTATTAAGCCTGTAGAAACTTGGGACTCAGACCACTTGAAAGTTTCAGGGACTCAGAAGGAAAATGTGAAGGTACTGATGTTTCTTGGCTGTGTTAGCCTTCACTAAGATCCTAAAAGAAATGGGTACACTTAAATTGAAGCTTATTATAAAAGAACAGGAAAGGAAAAGTCTTCCTAGAGGCAGCCTACAATCAAAGCCTGACACTCTGTAGTATTGGAGTGGAAATTTTCTTTACACACTGATATGTAAACGGGGAAATTCTAGCCCATTTATACCATTGCTGATGTGCTCTAAGACACTGGGCTCTAGGCTCTGCAGCTGTGCGTTGTTCCTCTTTATCTAAATTTAACTGAGATGAGTAGAAAACAGTATCTCACTGTGCTGCCCTTCTAAAATTGCCCACAGTGAGGAAGAAGAGATTCTCGAAGTATTTCAGGGTGTATTACCATTAAAAATGAACGAATTCCAGGTGGACAAAACAAAACAGAGCAAGGACTATGACAGGAAAGAGGATGTGCCATTGTCTTGGGGCTGATTTCAGACCGACTTAGAGGCCGCTTCCTTCTCTTTCCTGTACCTCCATCCTTACAGGGTATTCACTCACGCTTCAAATGATAAATCAGAAAGTCTTCTGTCTAGTAACTGTATTCTATCTAAGATATGACTCATAATAGCCCTGTCCTGGAAATAACTGAGAAAATATTCAGACACTCATTGCGGAACTACAGACCTAGAAGTACTATTTCCAGAAACATTTCAGCACAGACACGGTTGGTTTTGCAGGAGTTATTTATTTTAAGACTCTTTGATTTTGGGTAACATCTAACATGCACAGGGGCTGGTATAGGGACAATGACCCAAACTGGACCAGTGAGAGATCTTTCTAAAACTTCATGAGGGAGAGAAAAACAGCTTGTTCATTGTTATTTTCTTATATTTTGAACTCTAATAATTGTCTAAGCCTAGATCTTTATGGGAGACTCTGTACAGAATAAAGGCAACGTAGAGAAAAGCAGAACTGCAGAGAAAGGAAATAAGTCACAGACATCGTTTGAATGTCTACATCCAGCCATCACCAAAACCAGGTCTACTTTGGGATTTTTCCGTTATGTGGGCCAATAAATCCCCTCCTTTTTATCTAAGCTAATTTGAATTGAATTTCTGTTGCCTTCAGCCAGAAAATGTCGAAACTGAACTTCCAAAATTCAGAAGTTGAAACACTCTTAGAAACATAAAACCTTGGCATAAAATACTTTTCTGAAATCTGCTCATATCTACAGTATGAAATGCTAATATCAAAGTTTTAAAAGGCTTAGTATCAATAATAATTTTTAAAGCTCCTTTACAGGTTCAAAACTCAAAGAAATTGACCAAATGATCTACAGGACTTGCTTCTGAAGGCAAATGTGGTTCTTTAAACAGGAAGATAAAGATAAAATCAAAAATATACACCAAAGTGCAGTCAGAGAACAGAGATAACTCCCCCATTTTATGACTGCTCCTTCCAGTTTTAGAGTCTCAGGTAGTTCTGGCAAAGAGAACACTGAAGGAAATCATGTTCTCTAGGGTGTGGGTCACATTTCTTCTATCTTTTTCTTAAAACTAAATGGCAAATTCAACTTTCCTCACATATAGTTCAGAAATTGGAAATGAGAAGTTGGCTTATTACTGAGGAGTTACGGAGATGGTTTCTTCTCAGACCTCTCCCCATGGAAAGATGTCAGGAGTTGCCCATGACACTAGGGGACAGAGCAGCTTGCACGCTTTCCCTGGTAGAAGTCACTTATACACAGGCCTCTTCAGAAGCAGAAGGAAGATATATTCTTTGCTGGTTAACACATGTATGCTTGAAATGTGTCTGAAGGGAAAGAGCATGTTAAAAACTGATCTTCCTTTGAGCCACAATTTTTAAAAAAAGTATCTCATCAGCAATGCTTCTCAAGTTTACCAGAATCCTTTCTAAAATTTACTTATTTATTTCTTCTAAACAAAGTAACTGTATTAAGTTACTATGTCAATCCTTACACTAATTTGTTTGAAAACCATTGGAATATATTATGGATAATGAGTACACACTGAACAGGAAAGGGGCTACATACTGCAGGAAGACAGTCAACCGCTCGTCTCCTCTGCAGCCTCCGTGGGGGCCACACGCTGGACCTGTCAGAACCAGCACAGAAACAAAAACACATACCTCACTATCCTTCATGCTGAGCCAGCCTCACTGACCAACAGCACCAGGGAACCAATTAACTAGTTTTCTTCCTTTGCAGTCTAGCAGTTGAACATGCTAGCCAAGTGCTGTAGCACTCAAATTTATTCAAGGCAGAGTTCACTAAGCTGGCCATGCTGGCTTCAAATTTTTGATTCTCCTGTTTTAGCCTCCCAAGTAGCTAGGATGATAGGCATGTGCCACCACACCCAGCTAAGTCAAAGTTTTTGCTTGAAATATGATTACTCAACTATCCTAAGCCCTATGGCAGTCCTATAGCAATAAGTTACACATATTCTGAATCTAATAACTTAAACATGATATGGTTAGTGTATACTGTGTACCTCAACAAACTCCTTGCAAGGAAGGTGATAATTAAAAGGTATTTTAAATGACAGTGTTAATCCCTTCTCAGAATTACCTCAGTATTCTACAATAGTGGTGGTGTCCCTTTTATTGCAGATGTAGAACCTTGCAATCACACTTGATTGAACAAATAATTCTTATGTCCATGTGGGTCCATGCTCTATGTGCAAGTTCTCCACGGAGCAGGCTTATCATCAGAGACAGACTTGACAAGTGCTTTCTGACTCCTAAATCCGAATCCCAAAAGCGCCGCCATCAGTGGCCTGGGAGACGTGACTGGGCCTGTCCGCTATGTGTGGTGCGCCTGGCACAGCATCAGCTCTGCGGGGTGTTGGTCTCTGGGCCACAGAGTTTGCTCGCTCTCCTGTCAAAAGCAGCCACCACCTGCTCCACCAGCTCATCGAGCGGGGAGCACAAAAGTGAGTGGAAATCCAAGATGCAAGTTCTTGGGTGACCAGGAAGGTCCAGGCTATAACGCCAAAATGTCTCCAAATGTTTGAAAAGTCTCCCATCAATGCAGGATACCTTTACCAAATGCGATTTCGTAGAGTTTACTGCTGATGTGTATTGCTCCAGGACAGGTGGAAAGTGATTTCTAACCAGGTTTTACAATACCCGAATCTCTTTGATATTACATCTGACTTTTTGCACCAAGGAATGAAATACTTGTGATCCTCCATTCCTGACACCAGGTCACACACTTTCTGCACTGAATATCTGATAATTCTCTCTGAATAGTCTTTTGTTTATTAATGATGCAGTGATTTTGGAGAAAGTTCTTGCATGTGACTCCTTAGGCACAATTGAGGTATGTAATATATACCACAGGAAGCTAAATCTCTGATGTTAATATCTATCTCAAGCAGCAGCCAGAGGCTGCCCTCCTAAAGACCCTCTGGCCATGGAGCTGCCATGAACATATCTCCTAAATTTATTTGGAACTCGTTACATAAAATATAGAAATTGTAGGTATTAATGAAGTATCATGTAGTACTTCCATACATTGTACCTATATTATATAAATTTGGGGTTTGTTTTTTGTTTTTGTTTTTCTTGAGATGGGGTCTTGCAATGTAGCCCAGACTGGCTTTGAACTCGTGATAATCCTCCTGCCTCACCCTCCCATATATAACATTACATTATATGATGTTTAAGTCAGGCTAATCATATCTGTCCTCTCAAATATTTATCATCTCTTTATGCCAAAAACTTTCAAACCCTTTTCTCTAGCTTTTTGAAATGTGCTCTACATTACTGTTATCCACAGTCACCCTTCTATGGTGCCCCAAACTCTCACTGCTACCTGTTACTTTAGTGCCCGTGGCTCGATGTTCACCCAGGCAAGTTTCTCCACTCTCCCTGGGCTCTGGTTACCCCCATTTCACTCTCAACTTCCATGAAATCAGCTTTTTTGTATCCCAAATGTGACTGACATCTGCGGTACTTGTCTCTCTCCTAGGCTTGCTGGTAGGAACTTTTGGTAGCTGGCTGGTGTAGACGTAGAAGTCAGGTTTCCATTAGCTTTGAGGTTAGCATATCAATACCCAACAAATAATTGTTTAAAAGTTCCACTGAATGAGCCCAAGTGTGAACATGGGTAATCTTTGAAGATACTGAGGTTATATAACATATTTTAAAAGTGATAACAATCCCAGGCCTGTAACTTTCCTCACAAGTCCTATTTTTATCCCTTGATTACTCTTTTGCAGTCCTCTCACATTTCTTCCAGGGCCATACAGGTCCCTAAATAATAATTCATGCAGATAATACATGATGAGCACTGGGAGAAAATATCCCACAGCATGCTACATGTTTTAAAAAGGAAAAAACAACCATATAATTTCTGTTACTATTCGCTAGATTTTTTTCTGCCAGAATAAGTCATTTACCCAGCTTTTCACTGGTAATGACTCTGTATTCATTTCTTAAATTTTAAATCTGTTTAGTTCCAAATACTATTTTTAAAAAGGTCACTTTGACCACATTTAAAAGATATTTTGTCATATGTCATATGAAAAATTAGGAAGATGGGTGAAATGATGATCTCTTTCCAGCTGTAAAAGGCATGGACATCTGTGGAGTTAGTCGAGCCATGGTTGCAATCATACATAACAACCTGCATAATGTTTCTTATTTCTGCTATTCTATAAATCATAGCTAATTAAATAACTGCCTTCTAGATTCATAACTTTCTTTTTCAATTCTGAGCAAAAGATTTTTCTCCCCTAAATTTCAAGGTCGATCATTATTAGGAAGGAGTGTGCACATTTAAGGTTTGCATGGATTTTGGCCTAGTCTAAAATCTGTGAAGCTAATTTTTTAATAAAAATAAGTATTTTTTATCAGATGCTTTCTCTAGAACTCATCTTCAGAAATTTGCTGCAAGAGACAGAGAGGAAAATACTTCTCTCCTGCTCTGCCAAGGTAGTTGGAAGCAATTCAGGAAGCCCCGCATGGCTTCACAGGGTGGGGAGGAATGCTGCGCTGCTGCAGGGAGTTCCGGAGCACCCAGCTGCTGAGGCGGAGCTGGAATCTGTGTACAGGAAAGACGCAGCTTCACCCTCAGTCCTTCCAAAGGCTGGGGCTGGATAAAGCCTTGGAGTCTGGCTTCCAGAAAGCCACAGTGTACCTGATTTAAAAAAGAAACCTCTTCCTGAGGCTCCCAGCACTCCCTCCTGCCACTGCTGCGTTGTGCAGGAGAGGAGAGCTCAGTATGTGTCCAGCGCTTTCTCCTAGGCTCGAACCACAGCAACTCAAGGTTGTCTGCTTGGCTCAAGTGGAAGGAAGGCCTTGCCCAAGGTTCTCAACTGAGACCACTGAAACCTAGGGGTAAGAGGGTGTGTCTGGAGGTTTCCCATCATTTTATTTTTTTCCTATGGAGAACTAAGAGGCCCTCAAGTATTATTAGTAGACACTAACTACTAAACAGTTTCTAAATGAGTTTCCCAAGAAGACAACTACTATAAGTTCAATGCTAAAGTATTGTTTCTAATTTTTTTATTCTCTTTAATGGTTTGATCAATCCTGCATTCCTACATGTGGTAATCTGAGCAACTTCATAGAAGATAAAAATATGTGACCTAACAACTACTGTTAATTCCTATCATTTTGAAACCCTGTATCATTTCTATTGTTTTTGCTTTGTTTTGTTTTTGTCTATGTTATTATTTTGTTATTTTTTTAATTCTCTTTAAAATAAAAAAAAACTCAACAATTTTCCCTCCGTGTCTTCAGAACTTGGCTCTGCTTCAGCCCCTCCCCCTCAGTTTCTTTAGGAACTTGAAAAACTTAACCAAGAGGGGCATTATGGGGTGTCAGATCCAGCTTCAGATCCCACCTTTATTTCTCTGATGTAATCAAGATGAGAAATACTCACTCATAAATAACATTGTATCTTCTTTTCAAAACCTAGTAGAATTATTATTAATCCCAGCATTTTCTAGGTGAAAATCTATTGAATGTCAGTTTCTTAGTTTAAAAACGTCACCTTAGACTGGAAAAAACCTTCAGTGTTACATTACCATCCAATTCGACTTTTGAAAACTTGGTAAGAGAGTATTCAGAGCCAGACGTGGTGGTACACACTTTTGATCCCAGCACTCAGGAAGGTGAAATGAGAGGCTGAGACAGGAGTATCAAGAGTTTGATGTCAGGCAGGGCTACATAGAGAGTTCACACTACATAGTGAAATGAGAGAGAGAGAGAGAGAGAGAGAGAGAGACAGAGACAGAGAGAGAGAGAGAATGAGAGAGAGAGGCAGACAGGCAGAGAGTTCAGAATTAGGTTCATGGCATAAGTTTTGTCAGTGTCAGAGATAAAATTTCAAACATGGAGAGACACAAAACTATTCCTTATGCAATATAAATCAGTTTCACATAAGAGAGGGTAAAATGTAGATTTAGTAATTTGAAGTCTAAATATATGTTCTCCCACTCCTCCAAAAAATACATTAAAAATAGCATTACTAGGTCTTTTCAAAGGGTACAGTCCACAAGTCTTATATTAGTCACTTTCCCATCTCTAGGACAAAATACCCAGCACTCACAGCTTAGAGGAGAGACGTATCCTGGCTCACAGTTGCAGTGGGTTCGGTCCATGCTAAGATGGCTGGCTCTAAGGCAGAATCAGCATGGTACAAGGGCATGGCGGTGGGAAGCTGCTCAAGCCATTGCAGTCAGAAAGCAGAGAGAGAGTATGAGGAGCTGAGACCAAAAATACACCCTTCCTGGACACACACCCTCACCTGCTTCATCCACAACAAGGCTCCACCTCCTAATAGCACGTTGAGCTTGAACTCATCAATGTATTAATCCACTGATGGGAACAACACCCCCACAATCCCATCTCCTTCCAAAAGCCCAACCTCTGAACTCATGAGAATTTCTGGGGACATTTTAGACCTAAATACAACATGTAAATTAACCATGCTTCATTGTTCAGGTAGCCAACAAATGAGTAAATCAAGTCCGAATTTACCGAAAACAAACTGTTTAAAGTACAAGTCAACTCACAGACAGGTAAACGAGCCATGACCTCAGATCTGCACAAAATGGGACACGGACTCTGATGAGTCTTACATTCCCATGTGATGGAGAGTGACATATCTGCACTAAATACTCTGATCTGCAGTGACTAAGGAATGAGAAAGCTCTACAGGCCTCATAAAAGTGTCAAGAGTAGAAGTTGAATAAATTCAGTGCTCTACTGAAAGGAGAGATTATAATTACAAAGCAAGTAAGACTTACTCCCCCAGAAAATCTCCATTACTAGCAAGACTGGGCATGATTAACACTATTTTATTATTAAAACTAAAGTAATTTAAAGCTGGGTATTATGGAGTTTGTACTGCCAAAGGAAAAATTTTTTAGCTTTCAAATGCTTCTGGTGGTAATATAATTTAGCTTGAGGTTTGTGGAAAGAAATTTGGCATTTGTGCATCGACAGCCTTAAAATATTTATACTCTTTCACACAGTAATAAAATAATCAGAAAAGTAGGTGATGAATTATATGCACAGTATCAATTAAAACACTGAGAAAATAAAAAAGAGAAAAATCAAAGCCTAAATACTGTGGATTTGTTAAACCAGAGGTCAAGAAGTGTGTTTTATCAAACTCAAATAATAAATATTTCCAGCCTTGTAGTCCTTGCTGTCTCTTTCACAACTACTGCTCTGCCACTGTAGGCTAACAGGAGCCTCAGAAAATAGTTAAAAAGAAGGTATCACTGTGTTCCAAAAATTTTTATTAATTAGCACTGAAATCTTAATCCATATAATTTCTAAAGATCAAAAAATATTATCTGAGTTTTTCCAACAATTTCACAATGTATAAACCACTCAGCTTATGCATTTTTTTCTTTTTTTTTTTTTGGTTTTTCTCCGGTACCGGGAACCGAACTCACAACCTTGCGCTTGCCCGGCAGGCACTTTGCCGCTGAGCTAAATCCCCAGCCCCTGCTTATGCATTTTATAAAGCAGGTAGCAGGCCAGATTTGTAGACACTTGAGTTAAATTATAGTATTATCATTAAAATGCTATGTTCATCATTTAGTCCTTCAATTATACAATGAGACTATAAAATAGTATGTCTAAAGATTTATAGTAGTTAATTCTAAATTGAGGTTATGTATAGCATAGATTATTTTTCTTTATTCCTTATCTTTCATATTTTTGGAGTTTTTAACAATGAATGTATGCTCTTTTATGATAAAATAATATTTCAGGAGGCACATTTTTTGCTGAAAAGATTCTTTTTTCCTTTCTTTAAATATTACTCAGAAACTTGGGACTTTCTGAAATTTTTAACAATGCTCTCAATGTTGTTTAAGTGACTTTAAACAACACCTGTTTGTAAATAGGAGGTAACAGTCCATTTGCCCTCCAGGGAACCTGCTTCTTAAAATTAAATACTTTGGTCTTTCTGCATTGCAGTGTCAGTCTCTCTCCTGGGCTCCGCGCCCCTGGCTCTGCCCTCTTCGTGGGTGCTGTCAGCGGCCGCGGCACACGTGCCCAATTCCCCTTGCTTGCCGCTTGTCAGCTCAGTTGTGCCCTCTACTGCACCCACTGCGGCCACCATGGACCCTGTACCTTCGCTGAAAACCCAGGGTGTGCTCTCTCCCTCCTCACAGCCAGTCTGCTACCAGCTCTCCGGCAGGTAACAAGCAGCCAGTTCCCTTGGGAGCCCGTGCATCGCGCTCGCACTGACGCGGGCGCCCTTGGTAGACCTCCGCAAGTGTTTTCCTATTTATTTTAAAAAGGGTTTTGGAACCCTAATATTTGAACTCAATTTAATAATGAGCTGGTGGGCAATTTCCAGGCACTTAAGCCAGCATTTCCCTAGTGTATCATGTAAGCCTTTCTTGTGGGAGACATCACAAGGGCAAAAACAGATCTGTAATCAGATAATTTTCAGAGATGCTACATGTAGTACCCCACTTCAGGAGACTCACCATTCATATTATACTAAAGCTTCAGCAAAGTCCAAAGGTTAAGATACCCATTTAACTCATTGTATCCCGAACTAATTTTCTACTGCACTTCTGCCTTTGTTTAAGGAGGAACCCATAGACACCAAGCAGAAAGTGTCCCCAGGGAACATTGTTGGTATATCCTCATCTGACAAAAAGAAGATTTGGCTTGAGGAAAGTAGAATAATATACCTAGCACCCCTGAAATGCCCCTGCATTGAACTCTGATGGTCTGTCTCTCTCTGCAGCAGATGCAGCTGGCCTGGGTCCTACCGAATTCTCCCCCTTATTCAGAATGTAGCCATTTACATTTCTTGGGACTACTGAGTGCCTTCTTCTCCACCTGCTGCTTTTCTTTCCAAGCATCTCTCTGACTCTACATTGCTTTCGAACTAACATGATCCCATCATTGTCAAGCGCTCCTTACTAATTATGTATTGAAATTTGAATTAAAAGCTCCATAGCTTTCTTGGCTGCTTGCAAAAATTAGCATGTGTTTTCAGTATTTATAAGACACACATAGCTGACAGTTTTAGAAAACTATATCCCATCTGCAAAAACATATGTTTCCAACTGTGATGAGATTAGATGTTCCTACATTTATTTTTCTAAGAATTGAGCACATCCAGTATGCAGTCTTCTCTGAATACATCCCATTGTTTCTCTTTTGGCAGTATCTTGCCAATGTCCAACCGTGAAGGATAGTTATGCATGAAGTTTTAATCCAATTAATAGCTTCTTAGCAAAAGCATGCACTTTTCAAAAAAAGCAAACTTCTATGTCATGTGAAAAAGACAGAAAATATTGCTGTTGCTCAGGATATCTTGCACAAAGCCAATTATTTCATATCTCAAATATGTGCCCCTTTATAACCAGAACTTAAAGCAACACATGGTCAGTTCAGCATTTGTCATTTTCTAGCCACAATACAGTATGACTTCATTCTGGGAATTTTCAGGGAAGTCTCTCTATCGAGGGAAAAAATATAACATATTTTCTCACATCAGCATCTGGAGTTTAAGTTACATTGCTAGCGTCACCCAGCACATGCACAGATGTGCGCCCTCACACATGTGTATACGTGGCATGTTTCAGATTCAACAGGAGTAGAAAATATAGAGTTTGAACCGAGTAACAGGTTCTCTTTATAGGGAGAATAGTATTCAGGGATCAAGACTTAAGATGAGTAGTTCTTTTTTGTCCTCCTTTAAACAACTCCAAGCCTGAAAGAGTGGTTCTATAATCACAGACTTGATGAGAAAATTTTAAATGGAAATAATGAAATAAATTTTGTTATATAATCATGTAGAAATACATATATAAGCACACATACACACAAACCTTTAAAGGTGACTCTCAGACTTTGTAATTCTTTTCCCACATATTCATGTGTAATGACAGTATTTATTTAAAAAGCAAGCTTTAATATCTAAATAAATTCCTCTAATTTGCAGTTGTCTCAAAGTTTCTCTGCCCTCTCTTTTTATAGAAAATAAAGATTTGATGATAACCTACCACAAAACCAAGTTGGGCCCTCTTCCAGCAGTTTGCACTGACTCTCTCACCTCATTTCCCTCCTACCCCTCTCCTTCATTCTGTATTGGTCATGCCACACGAACTTCAGCAGCCCCTTGAGGAAGCACCTCAAAACAGAGCCTGAGCTGAGAGCACACCTGCTGTCCTGCAGTAAGTGGACAGTCCAGGGAAGCAGGGGAGAAAGAAAAAGCATACATAAGGGACAGATTCCATCATCAGATTGGACATTCACAGGACATCAAGGGATTCAGGAAGACAGGGAAGTACTGTTGTGCCCCTGAATGTCGATACTATCTCAAATAGACCAGGAGCAGGCATTCTGCAAGTCCCAGTCTACAGCAGTGGCAGCAACCTGACTCAATTCCAAGGCAAAGTACAAGATGCTACAAGGTGATACCATGTGTCTGGGTGGTACCAAATGCAGACCAAAGTTTTAGGTTCAGAGAGTTGTACACTATTTCCAGTTTTCAAATGAAAACATGAATGCACAGTGTGGAGCTTAGGATGGAGTTTCAACTTGATTGGTCTTGGGACCCACCCCAGAGATTGGTGGAGCGCACTTCTAGGTATATCTGGGTGGGCCCTAAGGTGTGGCCTTGGGTGTGCATCTGGGTGCTTGCCCCTTCCTCTCTCCCACTCTTCACTCTGCACCCCAGCCACCCTGAACTGAGCAGCTTCGCTCTGCATGCCCTTCCACCGTGACGTCTGTGCCTTGGTGGGAGCTGGTTGTGGGCTGAAACTGAACATGTTGTCGGTTGTGTGGGTTGGATACCGTGTCTCAGTGCTGAGAAAGCTAAAACAGAACATCGGTACGAGGGTGGCAGTGCGGTCATTGCTGCGACTGTTCCTTACCACGTGGTTTAGAAGCCTTTGGAACTGGTTTGTGGAAGGTTCAGAGAAGTCCTAAAATGCTACAAGCAGAGTCTCGTGAGTAATTCTGGTCAGGTGTCAGAAAGTTAGACTGCTGACAGTATAGGCACAGTAAAACCAGGATCAGGGGGTTTCAGTTGGGAATGAGGACTCCAGTGGCATTTGGATTAGAGGCCACGCTCTGACAGGAAATCTGTCTACATTTAGCTAATATCCTGAGACTTTGCAGGAGACTTACATTATAAGGGCAGTACACTAATCTGGCAGGGGAAATTTCAAAACAGCCTAACATTTAGGCTGTGGCATAAGTACTGGTGGCTGCTTTTGGCCAGATTTATAGTGAGAATCAAGATTATTCTTTGCAGTTGTACTTGGGATAGTTGTATAAGGTGGAATTACAATTTGCTATTGTTTTTTTCTGGAGATTAAGGATGACTTACGGAGATGTGTTTAAGTAGCAAGTTGAAAAGACGTGAAGTGGGTGATTAAGGTGGAGTCTCCTCTTGGTTTTGGGATCCAGCCCAGTGCTTGGTGAAGCACACTTCTAGGTGTGCCTGTGTGGGTCATGGAGGCAGCTGATCAGGGATTAAATGTATGAGCAAAGTAAATCCCTTCTCCTTTAAATTGTAGGTGGTAGGTATTGTGTTTCAGTGCTGAGAAAGCTGATCAATACACACAGAAATATAAAATTTTTTTACAGCTAAACAGTGATGTAGCAGGACCTAAATCCAAGAGAACTGGCTCTAGAACATGTAGTCTCACCTACTTCACTTCTCCTAAAATGTGGACTCCATAAAAACACAAAACACTTTATCCCTAGCACCCATCACAAATATAAAGTCTGACACACAGTGGTCAGTCAATGAGTATTTGATGAATGAATGAATGAATGAAGATCATTGAAAAAGTGGTATTTCAAGAAAGACCAAAAAATCAATAGGAAGGATAGATTGAGTTTTATTTAAGCAGCCTGCAAGTTTCCATGGCAGAAATGACATCTCAGGTAGATCTTCCTAAAATTTAGAGGGAAGTCTGACCCACTGACACAATGGCCACATTGGGAAATTGTGGTTTACTGCATGGAGCACTGAAATACTACACAGAGTACTGAGCAAGGAGGCTCAGAAAGTAAGACTTTAATAGCATATTTGTTTCAAATTTTGGAAGTTTAGCATCTTCAAAGTGGACACAATGCTTAAATTCAAGAGAAGTCAAGAACCGTGTTCATTAAAAAGAAATTCCAAATGTTATCTGTCCATTGACAGAGGAGTGGGTAAGGAAGATGTGCTGTCTATACACAGTGCAGTACTGCTTGGCCACAGAGAAGGACAGACGTGAGTTCTCGTGGGAAAATGGGTGCACCTTGAGGCCGTACTGTTACGTGAAGTGAATCAGACACAGAGGCTTAAATATCACATGGTTTCTCTTATACGAGAAAACCAAAATACAAATAAAAATCAAAACAAAATAGATAATAGGAAATAGGGAGGAAGATCTTTTGCAACAGAGAAAGGGACCAAGAAATGAAGGGACCGTGAAGGAGGGAAGAAAGGGGAGGACTCAAGAATCGAGGGGTGTCACATCCCTGGACCAGCCCCCCATGAGCAATATTATCATTATGTACTGAAAACGTGCACTGATGAAAATAACATTAAAAAATTAAAATGGAAGATACTTTCCAGCTTGCAGCAATGTCCACAACCAGAGAAGCCAAGAGCCTGCCCTAGAAATTCCCCAAATCATGGCTCATGTCATGTATTTCACTCTGTACTCCAGGAACCCACCCTGGAAAACTTACATTTTGGTGTTACCCAAGCCTGTATGGCCTCGGACAGTAACGGTGACCATATTAGAGACCGAGGGCCCAAACTGCAACCCCAAGCCCACTAATTTATCACAAAACGCCACACTGCAATTGAACTGAATGCTCAGCGGCTGGGGTGCGGCAGCGGGGCTCGCACGTAGGCAGAGGCTCTGCTGCCGGCTGCAGCCCAGCCCCAGGGCTTTGGCTCCACTGCTTAGGACAAAGCTGCGTTCTTGCTTCCTTCCCAAAGAAACGGAAAACAGCTGCTGAACACTCTCTGCGTTAAGCTTCCTTTGACTGTGGCAGTTACTTAAACATTTTCCTGATATTTGTTCATTAACCTAGTTCACAATATAAAGATATCATAAGAAAACCCTAGAATAAAGAACAAAGGCTAACACTGGCTCTCGAAATTAAATCATTCTCAACATACCCACACAAAGATTGAAAAGAAATCTATAAAGAATGAAATTCCTTTCCTCTATAGGACAATTTCTCTGTTTATAGTGCTTCCTTTGAACTACATAATGCATTGTCTTTATGATAAATGAAGTCCTTCTGGAAATGATTATATCATACATGGGAAGCAAGTTGCTGACAAATATTTTTATTTAGCAAAACAAATGTTCCAAACAAATCCCCAAGAAGAGCGTTTCATAATGCTCCCATTTTCATTTCCATTTGGTTAATGTCTTAATGCATCAGTAGAAGCACCCTAAATCAAATAACCATGAGTCACTCTTCAGCCGCTTACTCCTTGCCCTATTTTCTCAGACTTGAGCATCTTGTATACCTTGGAGCCCATCTCCTGGTTGCCCTGAGGCAGCCCCTGTCATTCTTCTTGTGATGCTTACCCCTGTGCACCCCACACTTCAACTTCAAAATTCTAGATACCCAGAGACCAACTTTAGGCACTCTTTTCATCCTGTGCTGTCCTGCTAGAAGATTTTATTCACATATGTCACAGATTTATACATGCTTCTAGACCTGGCCTCTGGTGTCCAGATGTGTGTACCTAATTCTCAATGTGACATTTCCATCAGAATGCCTATGTGGCATGTACAACTCTGCCTCTGTCAAAAACTAAATTTGTGATGCAAAGACCCCCAACCTTATCCTGATATTCTCTTTTTATCTTTTCCATTCTCTCTTACTCCCCATATGTAACCCAAAATAACCTAACCGGGGCTGGGGATTTAGCTCAGTGGCACAGAGCCTGCCGGGCAAATGCGAGGTTGTGAGTTTGATTCCCAGTACCAGAAAAAAAAACAAAAAAATTTAAAACATTAAAAAAAATAACCTAACCACCAAGACCTATGATCTCCTAAATACTTTAAATCTATCACTTGTTCTTCACCACAGTCACCAACACACACACTGAAGCAGGATATTGAGTAGCACCTTCTTGCTGCCCAGAAGTCCTCCATAACCCTTGAAGAAAGGTCTTCTCCTTCCAGTACTCACAAAAAACGGAGGTGCCTCTTCCAAACTATGAAAGATACCACGAGAGACTGAAGTTGCCAGAAACAGTGGGAGGCTGGCACCTCATTCCACAGCGGATGCCCGCCTGCCCACAGTCTCGTGGGTCTGCCCCTGTATTTACCAGAGCAAAAGAAAAGAAGCAGTTGAAGGCAGAGGCAGAGCTGTGAGAGGGCTGGCGATGGAAGAGCCTGCAGGCCACTTGGAACACCAAGCACGTGGGAGTTTTTCACAACCCCAGTGGATGTCCCACATGCTTGAAGGGAAGCCCAGGCCAAGGAGCACCCACAGCAGATAGTAAGTGGGAGGTCTGAAGAATTAATAGCACATGTGAGTTCTTCATGAGCACCCAAAATCAGACATCTTCCTGTGCCTCTTCCAGGCGTAAGAGGGTTGTTACTTTTTGTTACAGTACTTGCTGATGGAAACATCTTAAGAAAAGATGCCCTCCTAGATAGTTTGAAAACAAACAAAAGTGATTAATGCTATCTGAAGTCTTACAGATCAAAAAGTTTTGAAGTAAGAAAATTAAATTCCACTCATCTACAAGAAGAAAAAGTAAGCAAAAACACATAACTAAAGTTTCATTAAAGACCACATGTAATAAGAAAAACCCATGGATCTTTCTTTAGCAGTTACTGAAGCCTGTGTCCCAGTGATTTTAATGAGGTGTTTTACTTGGAGTAAACCAACAGGCATTATAGGGCTATGATCTAACAAAATATACCAACATAACAATGATTTATAACTTCAATAATGAGGATGACAAAAGACATAGTGTACTAGTCAGTGTTATCCCAGGTCATGGTCATTCTTTGAACAAAAGTCAAGCTAAAAGTAAAATTCCAAGCTCTGGAATGAGAACACAGCTTCATAAATGTCATAAGCATCTAATATAAAGTTAGAAAATGTAATCTTTTTAGAAAGTACTGAACCTTCTAGACAAAGTGTTGGCAAACTGCATGCAAAACCATGGACCAATTCCAGGCTAGCACCTCTGTTTGTAAATAAAGTTTTATTGGAATACAGCCATGGTCATTTGTTTACATATTATCTAGAGGTACTTTCCCAGCAGAACAGCACAGCTGAGTCACAGGTACAGCAAGTCCATGGCAGTTGGGACTGTATGGCCCACAAAGCCTACATACTTACAGAAAATATTGCTGACTCCTGCTCGATGCAAAGCAGTATCTCCATGTCTGCTGCCCTTTAAAAAAAAAGGTACTTAAGTACTAGAGCCCCTTCTGGTGTGACTTGAGGGAGGGTGGGTGTTTGGTGAAGATAACCTAACTCAAACTATACCCAAGAAAAGGAAATAATTTTAACTTTTTCCTCAGCACTGGGAATTGACCCTCAGGAGGACTGAGTTACATTCCCATCTTTTTATTTTATTTAATTTTATTTCATTTATTTTTTATATTCTGAGACAGGGTCTGGTAGCATCCAGACTGCACTTGAAATTGCAATCTTCCTTCCTCACCCTCCTGAATTGCTGGGCAGACAGACATTTCTTTCCTTTGTGAAGTTAACAATAGCTCATTTTGATTCAGCCACATTTTTCACAGTACAATCCTGACTATACATAGTTTCTTTAAAAATCCGGTTTATTCAAACTCATCTTAGTGTAAACAACAGATTACGAGCATCCTTTTCAATTCCTCTTCCAAATAAGAGTCTAAATCTCAGTCCCCTTGCTCCTCTTTACTGTATATATTCACTAAAACATGTTCCATCTGTCACATTACTTAAACCAAAAGCATTATCAAAATTGTGAATTGATATTCAATATAATAATAACGGCCAGCATTCCCCAAGGGCTCACCGTGCACAAGGCACTATTCACAGATTGCAGCAGAGTCAGTCCAATCTGCGACTAACCTGCCTCCCCTTTCGCTACAGACACACCTCCCTTGCCACAGAACCCTAGACACCTCCCTCTGTGCCTTTCACTGACTTCACACAGATGAGCCAGCCCATGGAAAGCCACTGTGGACAGTGGGAGAGCGCCAGGAGGACAGGAACCTGGGTTCCCAGGTACACTTGGAAGGGAGCCCCCAACAATGTTCCTTGTTTCACACTCCGGGTGACTGAGAAATTCAATTTCCCACAGCATGACACTTAATGCATTTTGAGAATTGTTTGTTAGAGCAGCTGTCAAAACTGAAGTGATTATTGCCATTTAATCAAGGAATGTTTTGGGCTGGGGATATAGTTCAGTTGTATAAGTGCCTGCCTGGCAAGTGCAAGGTCCTGAGTTCAATTCCTGGTACCACAAGAAAGGAATGTTTTTACTATTATTACTATATATACGTAATATCTATACGTAACCACTAGTCATTTCTGCTAAATCAGCAGAGTAACTTATAAAAATATATCAAGTCAAGTGGAGCATTTGCAGTTTTCAGATGATAACATCTGTAGCAGATTTTTCTTTAACTCCTAGATCTTAGAATCCACTATTTTTATCAACATCTGGGTAAGTCATTTGAGATGGTAAACATCCTTATTAAAACCAGGCCCATTAACTAAGATACAGAGAAGAATGTGAACTATAAAAATGTCAGTAATAGCCGGTGAATTCAAGCAAGCATGAAGTTGCTTAGTAAGACATAGATTCTTGGGGATGGGGTACTGGGGACTGAAGCTAGACCTGTACACTGAGCAATATATCAAGGCCCGTTTTTATTTTTTGAGTCAGGGTTTCACTAAATCACTAAGTTGCTCAGGCTGGGATCAAATTTGGAATCTGCCTGCCTCGGCCTCCCAGGCTGCTGGGATTACATGTGTGCACCACCACACCCAGCCGACATAGGGCATATTTATATCCTGATAGTGGAATGGCATTTACATTAGTTACCAAAGCAGAAACAATCTACTTAAATTATAATTTGTTAATTCTCATAAGATGGTACATAGTTTTAGTCAAAATTAAAGGCCTCTGGAGCAGCTTTTCTTTGTTGGAGAATTACAAAACAACATTTTTAAAAGTGGCAAATCATTGCCTTCAAATCTGGACTCTATTTCACAACAACTTTGGATATTTTGTGCCACTTAGATTGGAATTTTTTGTATATTTTTGACTTGGCAAACACAGAATAAAACAAGGGCCAGAAACTCTCCTTTTCCCTTTCTCATAAAACTCTTGCCACCACGGCCCTCTTCTTCTAGCAGCTTTATTCAGTTTAGGAGAGATTAAAATAAATGGGCTGTTTGAACAACCACGAAGGAACTGCCTGGGGTTACTCTTAATGATCTCCAAAAGCATTCCAGCTGACACATCCCTGTGCAGAGGCCAGCAGGGAGCGGGGTTGGCAGGGGCGGGGAGCAGAGAGGGGCGCCGTTCCCCGTGCCGCAGCAGTCCTTTCCCTCAGGGACTGTGTGTGGTCATCGCGAACTCTGCACCCCTGGGCCAAGAGTGGAGCTCCTTACAGTGGTCCGAGAGTCTTACTTCTGCCGTTCCCTTTTTCTCTTTCCTGAAGATATGTACCTCTGAAAGTATGCACCTGGTATTCCCACTGCGCTGCATGTTTCACCAGGCCCCTTCCCCTCTGTTCTTGAGGATTGTAACACAGCCCCGAGGTCATCAGCCTAGGAAAGCCAGGGTCACCAGCCCAGGAAAGCCAGAGCCAGCTGGTGCACGACAGACCCCACAAGAGACCTGCCTGCCCACCCACCTACCTCCCAGCAGGCCTCCCTCTTTCTCTCTCAGTGGCAGCACACACCTTCATTCTTAGCCACTAGGTAAGTGCTGTGCAAGCCGAGGACAGTGCTTAGGCCTGAGCTAGGATGCAGGAGGGTAGAAGGACGTGCGGTATTGTAGAAGGTGTGATCGAAGGGTCTTGGCTGCCAGGCGCTGCCTGGG